GACATGTGCACATGATTATGTAGAAGTTTGAATGAGAAAAAGAAAAAGAATTAAGAGAAAACAACGGCGAAATGACTATGTAGAACCGTCGTCCATTGGTAGCGGAAGTTCACGTAGTGAGATGGTGGATGGGCTCTATGAAGGGAACGACTATCTTCCCTTCCGAGGTCTGTGAAGGAGACTAGTGGGTGGGCTTCGTCGTAATCGAGGTTAATCGGAAAGGAAGGGTCGCGCACTGAGATCATATTATTTAATAGTGCAGCAGTTACAAAAAAGAAAATATAACACTGAAGGCGAACACGAACGTGAGCTTCAACCGTGTTCAAACCGGTGACTTTATGAGGAAAGTCTTTGATGCCTCATAAGCAGCTTCAGCTTCATCGCTGAAACGATGCTCGTCAATCCAATACGAACACCAGAACCTATCACAACCATATCTAATCCATCTCATAGTATGCACCTGTCATGATGAAGGAAACCAACCAGAATCTTCCCAATCAACTATTCCAGAGAGGTGTCCATCCTTGATGATAACATTATACATTCTCAAATCTGGATGAACGAATCGAATAGGATCTGACTTCATGATATTCCTAATCCCCACATCGACATCACGTTCGAATTCATCGACGTCGTCATATGAAGCGACATGCATCCATAGTGCAAGAACCGATGGAAAAGGTCCTGAACATTCTTCAAAGAAATATCTGGGATCTGGGAGCTCGTGTCCAGATGTACTGAGCATAACCTTTCCAGAGATCTCAGGCTCATCGGGTTGACGAAGGGTGTCTAACGCTTTCAAGACATCACAAACCTCGAGCAAGATGTCCCGCTGCATGTCCGGAGAGAGCAGCCCCGCTTTCGCAGCTTCTAAAAGGCTGGTGCCGGGCACACGAGTCATCACTGTATAAGTGATGCCTGCGTGGGCGAAAGATGTCACCAGTCGAGGAATGGGAATTTTTAGACCAGTGGAGTGTAGGAATTGTAAGGCGTGGGCTTCTGTACTTGTTGTTCGAGGGGTAATCTTGACTATCCAAGGTATTCTGAAGCGAAATAACCTGATTAAGTAACCAGTCTCACCCTGCATAGGAACTGTGAAAGCGAAGAGTAGTCGTTGCTGGTAAAACAAAATAACTTCAACTTATTATTCTCGACGTGGTAAATATAGACGAATGACTTACTAGAAAGGATGTCCACAGATCAAGCATGATGACGGGACGTGCATTCGAGGTGTGGCGTACTATGTGGTGGTATGGGTGACAATGGATGGTGATGGCGCTTCTTTATTCAAATCAACAATATACCACGGTCATGTGATGTAAACCATCACGGGTGCACTTGTGAAGAAGGAATCAGTTACTTACAGCAAACGAATACAGTCTACTGATGCGCATGCTTGTCTATTTGGTTCCAGGACTTTTAAGAGTCAGCGACACAGGGTGAGAGAAACAAGGATAACTGCTGAAGAGCCCATCCATGGGCCTATGATTTTTATGCAAGGATCGGCCTAAACATCTCAGCGACGTCGACATCCACAAGGCAACATGCCAGTGGTCGTTGATCAATCATGCTACTTTTTCAAGTACACTAAACTGGAGGACCCTGCCGCGGACAAGATGATGCAGATTTTTGTAACCTCGGAACGTGGATATTTGGGTGCGTAAAAGTTTTACAATGGATTGCAGACAAACATTTCATTGTCCGCCGCAGGGCAACATTTGACAACATGCTGCCTGCTTGATAGCTGAGTGGTGATATCACTGGCAATTTTTGTACAAGCACAGCACCTCCCGAAGTAGTCGCAGACATGAAATGGATTCGTGTGAGCTCAAAACATGGATAGATGGATGCGTAGCCCTCGGCTTCCTACTTACATGATGCTCACCGTGAACACGAGTCAGTTGAAATGCCCAGTGTTTAGCGCTGCATTCCTTGTATTTTGTGGAGATTGGTTGTATACATCGCAACACTAATAATGCAAGAATAATTGACAGCGGGGCCTACCATACTGCAAATTCTGAACCTTTGTGAGTGCATAAACTGTCCTTTTGTCATCCTGCCGCATATTTTCTTGAGCTCATGAATTTCGTAGCTTTAGAGTAAAGGTATTCATCAGCCCTGCTATTTCACGACCATGGAATGAATTCGCCACAAAGAACATTCTGATCAGTATACTCCTAAATTAAAGATATTTGGTGTGTATATCATGCTGGTCTCTGTTGAGTCACTATCCTTGAATAAGCACATCCATAACAAGGTTGGCATGGATAGGCAATGTCCAGCGAAGAGCAATGTTGACGTTCTGATATTCTAACGGAAGGGACTCGGATTCATCAATCCAAACAACTGTCTCCCAACTGAGTAACCACTTGGGTCTCGATAGGATTGGGAGTCTGAACAGACCACAATTCACACCCATCCGAAGATTGATTAGATTATTTTCACAATTTGTGAGTCAGTTTTGGTCTATCTAGACCCTCAATGCGCTGCAACTTCAATCCATTATGGGGTAGCTTTGGGAAGATGCATGTATGTATTCTTATGCCGTTGATATGGATTTTTTCAACAGGTTGGATGCATATATAAACAGTGACATGCTCTGTTCAGGATCTTCACCAACCTACGAATCTACTCATTCGGTAAGTTGATGTCTCTCTGTGAAGAAACCTCGAGCTGAATATTTGAACTTTCCTATAGTCTCTGAAATCTTGTAGTCTTCATCACACCCGCCGCCACATATCCCTCACATTGCACCATGTCAGATACCATAACCCTCAGCCCCAATTCCCTCTACATCTGCCTCACTCAAATCATGTCCCCTGGATTCCACTGGTCACTGTACATTACGGACAGTACTGGACTAGCCACCCGTTATCATTGGGTAGAAGTCAGGACCAGACGACAAGCAGCTGATCCTATTGAAGAGTACACCCGCGCCGTAATCAATCCTGTCCGCGGTGTCACTGGTGGCTTCCGTTTGAATTACACATTTGTCAAGATACGTAGCTATACTGCTCCGACCACTCCCTTCGATTTTCATGCCATCTTTTCGACAATCTACACTACAAGCTATAATAATGTGCGTGATAACAGAGAACATGGCATTCGCTGCGGTAACTGGGTCATGACTGCTCTTCAGTACCTCTACCTCTATGGCCTCTTACAGCTGAATGAAGGTCAGATCAAGGAAATCCAGACAGTCATGACCGCAAAAGGCGAAGAGTTAGAGCATAAAGTTGCCACTACTAGGCTCGCTGACACTAAGCTCTGCGAGCTCTACTGAACTTGAAGAACACGCAGGGATAGAGTAGTTGTTATACTGAGCTATCATAGATTTGTATCACCAGTATGTCAATTGTTGTATGATGTACCAGTAGTACCTCGATGTTCTTGTAATTTTACCATTGATACATCCCAAGTTATAAGAATCATTACAATACTCCGAGTCTCAGCAGAATAAGATCATCACATGACCGTGAATAAAGTCACGACTCCGAATCACTGTATCTGAGTCACACACTGTCCTCTATTATTTATATCACCACATGCTGTAGTACGCCACACCTCGAATGCACGTCCCGTCATCATGCTTGATCTGTGGACATCCTTTCTAGTAAGTCATTCGTCTATATTTACCACGTCGAGAATAATAAGTTGAAGTTATTTTGTTTTACCAGCAACGACTACTCTTCGCTTTCACAGTTCCTATGCAGGGTGAGACTGGTTACTTAATCAGGTTATTTCGCTTCAGAATACCTTGGATAGTCAAGATTACCCCTCGAACAACAAGTACAGAAGCCCACGCCTTACAATTCCTACACTCCACTGGTCTAAAAATTCCCATTCCTCGACTGGTGACATCTTTCGCCCACGCAGGCATCACTTATACAGTGATGACTCGTGTGCCCGGCACCAGCCTTTTAGAAGCTGCGAAAGCGGGGCTGCTCTCTCCGGACATGCAGCGGGACATCTTGCTCGAGGTTTGTGATGTCTTGAAAGCGTTAGACACCCTTCGTCAACCCGATGAGCCTGAGATCTCTGGAAAGGTTATGCTCAGTACATCTGGACACGAGCTCCCAGATCCCAGATATTTCTTTGAAGAATGTTCAGGACCTTTTCCATCGGTTCTTGCACTATGGATGCATGTCGCTTCATATGACGATGTCGATGAATTCGAACGTGATGTCGATGTGGGGATTAGGAATATCATGAAGTCAGATCCTATTCGATTCGTTCATCCAGATTTGAGAATGTATAACGTTATCATCAAGGATGGACATCTCTCTGGAATAGTTGATTGGGAAGATTCTGGTTGGTTTCCTTCATCATGACAGGTGCATACTATGAGATGGATTAGATATGGTTGTGATAGGTTCTGGTGTTCGTATTGGATTGACGAGCATCGTTTCAGCGATGAAGCTGAAGCTGCTTATGAGGCATCAAAGACTTTTCTCATAAAGTCACCGGTTTGAGCCTTGTATTCATTCATATTTGCCTTCACTGTTATATCTTTTTCCTTTGTAACTAGTTCTGCACCCCGGCCCTTGCGTGACAGTTTGAAGAACCACCTAGCAATAATCTGATACCATCATGGCCTTGAAGAGAATCAATCACTTCAAGCTCTCCCTCACTTCTTTCCTATCGACCATAATAATAAAATCACATCCCTCTAAAAAAAACTTTCAAAGACCTATTTCCCAAACCACAACAAAAAGAGAACGACTCACGCTGACAGCAGGATTTGAACGTACGCGGGCAACGGCCAAGTGATAAATAAATTCCAAAAAGTTCACGGTATTCAAATCACTCCCCCAACGACTCGGCCATATCGGCATTTCATACGAGAATCTGAAACACGCTGCGAAGAAACCCGACAATCCTTTACAATATTCATGGAATCCGAATGTATGTATTGACATTGAAAGAAAAACAAACTACACTATTAGTCGAAAATTTCATCGATACCAAGTGTAATTGTCAATATAAGTTCAAATTGGTAAGCTGATATGGCCGAGTCGTTAAGGCGAGTGATTCGAATCTATCTCGTTATCACTTGGGCATTGCCCGCGTAGGTTCAAATCCTACTGTCAGCGATCCGTCTTTCTTTTGTTTTGATTAGAGTTTGACTACTGTACCGAGCACTTAGTACAATACATAAATGGCCTTTTCTTTACAATCTAATATCCACGGGACTCCAAGATCTCGACCCAGAGTTCACTGAATATGGTGAATGGATCGAGCTTGTGCGTATTACTCATTGTGACCAGTAGCAATTGGTAAATAGGCTAGCACACGCAAGACGCGTTGGGACGGCATTTATATATTTGCTGAAAGTGACTTGACTCTCGAGATCAACAAATAAAGCAAATTGCTGAAGCCGCCAATTATATCGAATTCTAGTTTCTATAGACTACATGCAATCCAAATTTCCGGTGTCAGGGGTTGGAACAAAAAATACAACTAAAAGTACACGATGAACGAGCTTATGATCCATCCAAACTGAGCAAGAGAAAGCCCTCCGTCTACTGAGGTTCGTTGATGTTCTGCTGAGCTTCACCCTTGTCACGACGAGCGTTTCCTGTGAAATTGTCAAGAAACATGTCAGCAACCGTGGTCGAGGACAACGAAACCCAAATCAGAAGCCAAGGGTTGGTCGTAGAATACTCACCAGTAGCTTGCTGTGTCTTGTCGCCAGTGACGGCACCGACAACAGCGTCCTTCTTTCCGCCCAATCTGTCCATAGTACCCTCTGCGTAACCCTTGGCCTGAGCAGCCTTGTACTCGGCTTCGCCTTGAGCGTGCTCGTCGCGGCCTCCTGTTTGCCAAGATTCGGCGCCGGTGAGGTTACCGATACCTTCGACGATGTTACCCTTCAAAGAGTGGTATTGACCGGTGGTCTTGCTAGAGATAGATAGCGGCAGGGTCAGTAAAAGACACGAGTTAGATGCAAAACACAGAGAGAACATACTTGGGCTCGTTGTTGTTTGTGGAAGACATGGTGATGATAACGAGTTGTTTGTTTGGTAGTGATAAAGAATATTAAGACAGAGGGATGGTTGGGTGATTCTGGTTGAACTCCTCGCACAGCTTATATACGTTTTGTGGGCAGTGACCGACGACGTCATTTTCGTTGCTTCTCCACCCTCGAAAAGACACGTTCAAAGTCCGACGCCCGATGTGTTGACGACATGTTGACAGTGACCAGGTTAGTGAGAAAGAAGTAGGGCCAAGAGCGTAGACGCGTAGACTTCACGAAGGAAATGAAAAGGCTGAATTCTACAATGACGTCACGCGTCAGGACGCAGCTGCCATTCATCCATAGCGCGACGTCATCCTGTAAGGATACTTTGCATTGGAATCCATGTAAAACAAGGTCCGAAAAGCCACCAGCGTCCTTGTTGAAATTTGTCTGTTTCATGGGGATCGGGCTCCACAGGCAGACTAACTTGAACTTGAAGAGTTAGAGTAAGTGACGCGTGACAAGGGAGTTTACTTTACCTTACAACGTCATGGACGTTCACTTCGACTCGGAATACAGACAACATTCATCGAACGTTCCAGAATGCGAAGTGGTGAGTGCGTAGCCGTCCGCGTCGTGTTCAACCATACAGAAATCAACGAATGCGAAAAAACCTGCAAGTACCTACTAGTGTCCTCCGACGAGGGAACAGCATACTATGATTCGGGGGTTTCTTGGAAATCGGAAATCGGGATACCTTGAGCAGCGCGAGAATTCCATGTTTACACCGCTATCCTGTGACCACGGTCCCCGAGAAGTTCTAGTTGATCCTTAGGTCCCAGGAAAAGATCTTGGTTGCAGCAGATTTTTTATTGAATCCGAGTCAATATTGATATTTCTACCGACTTATTGTTAAAACTTCCTAAAATATCAGGCGATGGTGCGTGAGGGGTTTGTTCTTGATACGACTCAACGAATCTGTGCCGTCACCAGTTGGCACTCGATTTTGGAACTGATAGAGTCTTGAATATTAATGAATGGTGTCTCATTCAACTTGGATGAACTGGCGCATATACAGGGAAGAGGCATATAGGAGACCATGACCGTGGTGTTATAGTGATACTCAGAAGGAAGTCAAATCGAGCGGACAACGAACGTCACTGTAGCAAGAAGCATTGAATTTGGTTTTTAGAGCTTAGTCAGCATGCCGAAATCAAAATTCATACTTTAGCGCTGGACTCTGTAAGTTTTAACTTTTCCGCTTTTTTTTGGGAGATTGTATTCCATCACTGTGGTGTGTAGCTCAGCGCATTTATACTGCAATGTATTCATTAATTCGCTCAGAAATTTTGGCAGTATGGGCTATCACTGTTCCAGAGCTATGTACAGATTGTAATTTGTGGGGAACCATCACGTGACTTACTCACAGTGCAGCGTCTCATACTCTCTTTCCGAGCACCGAACAAAAAACGCGGTTCATAAAAAGATCTCCTTCTGGCTATTCTTTGAAAACCAAAATCCTTTGTTAAATCCCTTCCAAGAACTGACACAATATCAACAGGGAAGACCGACACAACGGTGCTATAGTGTAGTGGTTATCACTCGGGATTTTGATTCCGATAAATATTCCCGAAACCCAGGTTCGAACCCTGGTAGCACCTATGAGTATTGTTGCGATTAGGTCTTTTTGGTACTCAAGTACCATCAGCGAAAGATGCACGCGCATGTATGCGCATACAAGCCCATATAAACCTCACCTGCACTTATAACGCTCGCAAGTCAGGTACTCTGTTATATCCTCTTATAAGGATTTAAATCCTATAAGGTACGGCAAGGCAGGTGGGTGTCACATAAGCCTTGTGAGGCCTTACAAGCTCTTACGAGTGAATATAAGGATCATCCATTTATTTGTAGCGCCGGACTGATTCTTCTCGCGAAAATTCACAAAAATTCATAAAAAGCGCAATAAATCATAAAAATGCGTAGAAATATGTATATTATGATTGAAAGCTAAATAAAATACATAATTCAGAAATACTCCAGAGCTAGAAAAAGGGAGACAAGTAATGATTAGCAGGCCAAAAGGTAGCCTGTAGTGGTGCAATCAGTAAACATGAAGAAAATCGAGCATAAACATCAACTCACACATGACACCGGGTAATCGACATTAGGTCTGAGGCTAAACAAAGAAAGTCATCAGACAAAAATTCAATGAAATTCAATGATGACATACCATGCACAACATAGGTGGGATCAAGGCTTCTAGAACAATACAAAGCTGAGTTGAGTGATCCTATCGTTCGAAAAGAAATGTAGACTTACAGTGAGCCAGCTGAAGATGAATGAAGACACACCGACGGGGAAAGAAAGAGGAAGGGAGTGGGGAAGAGAGAGTCAAAGACACCCTTTTATGTGTCAGCGACGTTGGAAGAAGTAGAGCGTCGGATGTTCGCGACGCATTCCGTTCGTTGGCCATGTCCCCAAGAATTTAGTAAAATAAAAAATCACCTGTCGAGAGGTCAGTGTCAGTATATCACATTGGGGATGTGTAGGTACCAAAGAACACTCGCCTCATTCTCGAACATTGAACTTTAACTTTATGTTCCCTCCCTACTTGAAATATCACAAGTTTGGGACATTTCCTGGTCGAATCGAACCGAGATTGAAGCAGGCGCCAGAGGGACATGAACCGATGAAGGGGTTTGAGGATGAAGACACTGCGACGTCGTCAGAATATAATGTCTTGTATGAACCTACCTACCTTGTGCCTCCTTGCATGCACTCACCAGACGTCCACAAGACTTGCGACCACCTTGTAGGACCTTATAACTGCATACAACACTCCCACATGGCCGGTAGCGCCTCATCAACCTCACATGCTCTCACCACTCTGTCCATCTTTTGCTGATGACAGTACCTTATAATTACCTCATCCGAGTTTTTTCTCCAGCTTTGAAAACGTCGAATTTTCGAAGGCATCATGAAGTTGTCTCGATATCATTATACTAAGTACTTGTCTGAAGCTTACGGCGGAGTCCAACGTTCATTACTGCGGCAGTTGGAGCAAGAACTACGAATCAAAGGAAACGGCAACTTTCATGTTCACCAAGAGTTCCAACTTTACAGGAGAGGATCAAGACGTTAACGTAGAGGAAGTACATATGATAACAAGAGCAACATTAAATGCTCTAATCATTTAATAGTTACAGTACCACCCTCCTTTACCGACCAGTTACTAGTATGTACATCCAATGTACAAAAACGTAGGCAGAAGGGATAATACAATCAAGGTTGAACGAACAGATACAATAACGACAATGTTACAAGCTTAAGGAAGTTCCTGGGTCCTGATACATCATGTCAACGAGGGAAAAGCCGATAAAAAAAAGAGTGTACGTGTACGAGTATAAAAAGCAAAAAACAAGAACAAGCAAAAAAAGTCTGAAAAAAGTCTATCAAGAATAGGAGGATCAAAAAACAAAACGATGCAAACGAGGAAAGCAAGACTAACAAAGAATGAACGTGAGGTGGTTAAAAAATAAAAGATGAACTGTCTTTGAGAAGATGGAAAAAAAAACCGAGAACTCAAGGTCCCTGAACATCCAACGAAAATTTCGTCAAATGTAACGTGAAGTTCATGCAGTATGCGATGTCGAATCGAATAAGTTATGGATACAATTGGTTCGACCAGTGTCGAGAGAGCGGGGTGGGAAGTAGGGAGGACAATTCGCAGTAATTGTCTCAGTGCGTGGGTGGCGCAAGATGAAGGGGTCGACAGGAGACGGACGGGATGCGTAAGAATCGTGTTTTCTGAGGTATTGGAATCAATATTAGCGTGAGTCGGAAGGCTCCAATCGATGGAGGAGAGGGAACCAGAGGAGGTTAACGAATAATGATAATCTGGGACATACTATGAGAACGACGGTTGGACTTGGAAAAAAAAATCATCAAAGTGCTTACGGAGGAAATCATTGATGATAAAATGTGTCTGTCACTCATGCAATGACACAATTGGTCAGAGTGTGCGACGAGGACTTGGTAGACGACTCCTCGTCAATTGGAACCTCTGGCTCAGATTCGGGGATAATGGTAGCAAGAGAAGAGATGTTCCAGAAAGAATCCATTGCAGTTTGAAACGATACCGTGAGTTTGGTGTACGATATATGAGGTTGAGTTTGGGGATTTCGAGCAGATATTGAGAAACGAGTTCTTCTCTTCGAGGGTGTTTCTTGTCAAGTTATAGAGAATCCAAGACATCCCCCCACTCCAGTACTTATACGATCGGTGAGGAAAGTTTATTTTTTTGACTGCGGATAATATGACAATAGCGATCGAAAGGTCCAAGGTCCATTTCACCGAGTTGAGCGAGATGTTCAGGATGATTAGCCAAATTTACAGCCACGCGACCAATAAAGATGACAATGCAAGAGAGCCGATGTACATGACAACCAGCCGGATAGGTACTGGGATAGGATCCCTATTGTGAGGGATGGTCGATATCGTCGTCCGACAAAAACGTGTATGGTGGAAAACACCAGGATGCCATGATTCAAGGAACAACCACTGCCCATCCCGAGTTGTGTTCCCTCGTAATTGTCATTCCGAACGCGAGAGATACGACAAGTGTCAACCAACACAATAGGATTCCAATGAGTAAGCGCCGAGAAACTGAATCCACGTGACGAATATGGGATCGATAGGTTTTTGCTCCGTTGAAGTTAAAGTTGGGTCCTGGATGACTGCGGTACGGCTTGAGATAATGACATGGTCCTATAGAAGTAACAGTCAGTGATAGCATAATAAAACCCATAAAACATGCGCATTGATGATGGTAAAAAACATACCAATTGGGACCAAGTTTATGCAACATCTTGAATCCATAGACAAAAGAATACTGTGTCATTTTGAACCTAGTCTCCTCCACACACCTCGGAAGGGAAGATAATAGTTCCTTTCTAGAGGTTTGAACCAACATTTCGGCAGGAACACATTGGAGGCAAGTAGCGGTAACGGCTCGCGATGGATGTCGGCTCCGGATCTTGTGGTTTGGGAGAACAACTACCAGCCGTCAGGCACTCGCATTGTGGACAAGTTTGAGAGATCTTTGCGGCTTTGCTTGATGAGGAGCAAAGTGTATGCTTGTCAAGGCTCATTCGGAGACAATAGGTTCACCACAGTCCTTCATGACATCCGAGTTCATACCAGCGAGGCTTTCATCGATTTCTCCGGGGAAAGGTGCGCATTCCTTAAGACATGGAAAGTAGGTTGAAGAATGCACAGAAAGATGGCTTTTTTGACATCAGAATGTATTCCATGTAATGTCCTGGGTGGTGTCTACACAGTACAACCCGATGCATACTGTTTGAACTTCATTGCGTAATTTTCCTGTCAGATTAGATGGATTCTATACTATAAATTCAATACCTACTTTGCCCAATGTCAGTGCCTTCGTACAACGAAAAAAAGTGGTGAGGTACTCACCTTCAGTTTACCACTACCTACTCGACCTAACCACCAACAAGTATCCGCTTGAATTGAGAAGCACAAACATTGGCCCGGCATCAATATGCTCTACCTCCATTCTGATAGAGCGTGATAGTTGCGATAGAAACCCGAATTGTTGAAGATCATAAGAAACAGCATGCAAAGATTCGAACGCGGGGTATGTTCATTTTCGATTATGAAATACGACCCATAGCATACAAATAGTATTGATCAATATAATTTAAGTCATTGGTTTTATAGACTTATGGTTGCTGACTAATAAGTTCAAACAGTGCCTCTCCCGAGAAATTCCCAGAATTATCCATCAGTCTCGCTCGTCCGCCCACTTCGACAAGGACGACGACAGCGACAACCTCTTTTCACGACGACTACGACGACGACCACAACGACCACAGCCTTGAGCACTATCACTCTGATCTACATCTTTTGCTCGCTGTTCATCTCTCCTTTACCTTCGAAACCGTAACCAGCTGCCATTGTTCCTGGGCATCTGCCCCGAATCTTCGTCGACTCCTGAACTAGGTTTCACTCAATCCGATGGCCTACAATCAAGTATCCGCCGCACATCTAACACCCTCCCGTCCTGCTCCCTCTGTTCCGATCAGAGGAGCGAACAACATTCAGAATGTCTTATCCAACTCTGGATACACTTCTTCCTTCTCTATCAACAGTACAACTTCAGGTTCATCCTATTCTTACTCTGGCATTGGCGGGTCTCCAAACCGGACGTCGGATAGTGTAATGGCGTCCTCTATTGTGCGCTGCGGTGTAGTCAACATAAAGGAAGATGGTCTGGTCAGCTGGTTGTGGAGGCCCAAGTGGCTAATCTTGAAGGAGCAGACGTTGTCGATACATAAGAGCGAGGTCTGTACAAGCTTGAGAGCTACTATGCTCGTCTTTGGAAGCTAACCAAATCTTCATGTCAGAATGCCGCACAACCACAAGCTCTCATCAATCTCTCAGACATAGCAAACATTGAGCGTACAGACTTGAAGCCGTATTGCTTGTTGTTAGAGACAAAGGACAAGCGGATGTTTTTCTCGCTCAAGAACGATGAGGAGCTGTATGGATGGCAAGACGATATCTATTCTCGCAGTCCTCTCATGGGCGTTAGCAATCCCACTAACTTTGTACACAAAGTCCATGTCGGTTTCGA